AACATAACTTTTTTGTTTTCAATTGTATTTTGTGTCGACTTTTTCAATGCAAAGCACTCGACGTTTGCATAACTTTTTTAGCGTTCACTCGTCGGCGCCGAAGAATATATGCAAATGAAGTGTCTGTCCCTTCGAGAGGGCTATAGAGAGCGATAGCACCAGTAGTTTATGTTTCATCGATATTGAGTGTTGACATCACACTTGATATGTATATTATATTTTACACATTATTTTCGCCGCAAATATACTGCGAATGCATGCAATCATAAGTTTAGAAAATTTTAAAATCAATAGACCGGGGAATGGGCTATGAATTGGGTGGGCTGGGAGCTCATCAAAAGCATTCATACTTGTTACAAATTAATTACTCATAAACCTTATTTAATTCAATTTACTACCAGGGTTACTTTAATAGTCATTGTAATATAAGTTCTAAAATAATACAAAGTATTAGAGGTACTCATTAAAAATAATTAACTAGCCAAAAGTATTAAAGTTATTATTAAGTTATACTAAAATATCTATATAAATAAAAGCAATAAATTTTTGCGTATATTCAGTAAAATAAATAGTGAATTTATATTTTTAGTTCATATTTATTTAGTTTTGATTTATATTTTTATTTATATAGCAAATAGTGATGAAACCCCCGGGTATGTAAGGACAGGACCTGATCGGTGATAGTTTAGTCAAATCAATAGTCATTTGCGATTCCGCGCTATGATTGCGGCCATCGATTTGCGATCAATTGTCACCACTTTATGACAGAGAGAGAGAGAGAGAGAGAGAGAGTTTTAAAACTATTTATTTTTAAAAATCAGATTTTTTGTAATGAATTTTTAAACTGAAAATCTATGAATATTCTGAACTGTAATTTAATATAAAAGGTTGTAATTATTGGGTGCACTACATGTAGTGATTTAATATTGGATTTAAATTCAAACCTAGTTTTTATATTTACATTTAATATGACAATCCGGTAGCAGCTTAATTTAATCATGATTTATATTTTATAATACATTGTTATGTGGGGTAGCAAATTAATTTTGTTAAGTACGGAACATAATTACACAATAATATATTTTTTTAATTAAAAGTTAATTTTATTCATTTAATTAAATTCGCACCCCCTATACCACAAAACAATAATACATTACATGCAATCTATGTCCAAGTACAAATTCAAATTCAATACTATGAACTATAGGTTGCTTAATGTATTAGCTAGCTATAGTTCATTTTAATGTATTTGTATTGGGACATAACAATAGATTGCAATCGACTGGTTTATATTATAATAAAAATTTAAAGTACACTGAACTATTATTACTTCAACCAGGGCAACAAAAATTAGTTACTTAATATTGAGTTGTCTATACGTATTGTATGAGCAATATTTTCTAATCTAATCTATAAACATAATGTAAATAAAATTTAATATATTTTTAATAAAATATAATCTTATTTCTCAAGTGTTTTTCAACGGACAAAATGAATGAAAAGTATAAATATTAAACAAAAACATGATTACTATTTAGTTTAAGGTTTTATAGCTTTTAGTATAAACTAATTTTATATCAATAATAATAATTATACTCAAAGTACTTATAAACTTAAATAAAACTCATTAAAATGTTCAGCAAAAGTCTAGCATTTTATTTATGCCTAACTATTGGTGTGACAATACATGTCAGCCTACAGGACACCCCCGATATGCCCCCTATAGTAGCCGCTTGTTTTGACAAAATCTACCCGCTCACCATGCAATGTGTTACCCAGGCTTACATGGACTGGAATATGACATACAATTGGGAGGCACCGGTATATTACGATCCTAAGGGACAACAGGCCTGTTGTTCCGGGTGGCAGGCCTTTGATTGCTACGAAAGTGGACCAGTGGTACGACAAATATTTTTTGATACAATTATTTATAATTTATATAATTTTTAACTTTTCTAATCCAATAGAAAAAGTGTAATTCAAGCGAACAGATTGCTGTGAAAAAGTTTATCGCCGATACTGTTGACTATGAATGCAAACACGATTGCATTCATTACACCTATCACTCAAAACAGTGCGATAAATAGCTGGCTTATTTTGTGACAATTTTTTTAATTGTTTTAAAATAAACTTTTAGTCTCGTTAGATTAGTTATAATTTTAAAAATTATTTTATATGTAATTAAATAACTGAAATGCATTTGAATTGCCATTATTTACATAGATTTGTTTTTGAAAATATCTTAAACTTAATTAAAATATTTTTGTACAGCTTAAATATTTGTTTTGTAAAAACTTATATAATTGCTATTTAGTTATTATTATTAAGTAAAAATAATTTATTTGTGAAATATTACATAAATATTTTCTCATATTTTATTTACATTAGGATTTTGAATGACAAACATAAGATATTAAAAATTTTCAAACAGTAACTGCAAAACAAGTTATTTTAACAATATTGCCAGAATATCTAATTTCAAAAATATTTTACTAACTTACTAATAATTTGCAAACAAAATACATTATGAATCGTGTAAACCGTGATCTTATGCTAGAAATACGGCGATTGGAGGCATTCATGTGCCGTACGTTTTGCATAGTTTATCGCAACTCCGATGAGTACGTGTCCGCACGTACGCCAAGTAAATGGCGATTATATGCCTTCATATTAACAGGGTTATCGCAATTATTAATCTCACTCAGATTCCTGCTCATGGCCCTGGTTACTGAGCCAATATTACTTGACTTGCTGCTTGATTTCAAGCAACTTTCTAATAAATTAATGTTGTACCTGGCTATATCATTATCCACATTTGGCACTTTTATTCTTAATAGTGTATCATTTTATCAAGGACAAACGCGTACGCTAACAATATTAGACTTTTTCTACATGCTTAAATACGACAAATTTAAATATCCATTAAATATCTATGATTTGAAAAAGTTAATCATAAAAATTAAATATTTTAACAGGCACATACTGGTACCTGTGTATTTAATTGTTACCATATCACTGACACTTTTTAACGGTTATAATGATCTAATTACTTTATCGGAAAAACCAACCTGGGTAAAATTATTAATTTTTGTAACATTTCAAGTAACCATGCTAATTGATTCATCGATTGGGGCGGCTATGAGTGGTTTGGGTTTTATTATATGGTATATGTCTTGCTATTACTTTAAGAATAAATACCTTGAAATCTGTCGGAAGATTACATTAAGTGTTAAATACGACAACAAACGGCTGTTAATATCGACTATTCATGAGCACCATTACTGGGAACTACAAGTCCGACACTGTAACCACTTTTTCAAATACACCTTGTTTGTTATTTATTATATTGGTACTATTGCCATGCAATTGTATATTTATATGGCTTATCATCCGGATAGTAGTATAGCGATGCGATTAATATGCATAATATTAATCGTATCGGTATTTATTATGATTGTCTCAGTGAATCTAATGAGCACCTGGATCACTAATGCTGCCCATAGGCCATACCCACTGGTACTGTCGTATATGTCGGCCCACATGACACCGCTATCGGTGAAAGATAGGCTAAATCTAATGACATTCATTGAACGCCTGTCCACTGGACCGCCAATCGGTTACTATTGCTATGATTTGTTTCCTATGAATAGCTATGAATTGTATCAATATTTATACATCGCGGGCAGTAATTATATATTATTAACAACACTGTTTTAATTAATAATTTTATTATTAATGTTTACTATCATTATTGTAATAGCTTGTTTGTTTAATTAAAGGTAAAATTATTTTTATATAAAATTATTATGGATGTTAAATATTTATTTGCATTTATATTCAAAAGCTATTCTTACGTAAAGTGAATGCAAAGTTACTTAAGTATAACTCATGCTATGATATTGTAATATATACTGTATGTATGCAAATGCTTACATAACAAATAGCTCCCTGTCCTCCCCATCCACTTACATGAATATAATAGAAAGGGAAAGCCATTCATTACATACGGAGCATTAGAAATGAGTGGTAATTGAGTGAACAAATCGTATAAAATGTTAAATCTCCCAAAAATGACTGCAAAATGATTGCAATCATGCCATGTATGTGGTTTGCAGTGTCTATGAATGGGTGATAGTGTGGAATGTCATGATAAGCCTGTCCACTCGTGATATGCAAGGTCTAGTATAAAAATTTGAATTAGTTTACACAACTTGGTAATATAACTAAGTTTTTATATAAACTTAATAATTAAATAGAAATATGGTAATTAATTTGGTGTATGTTATAAAATTTATAAAAGTAATTTGTAGTGTAGAAATCAAAAATATTTTCAAAAATTTATTAGTAATCTTGGTCATTGTGGCATAATTTTCATTTAAATTTCTATGTAAAATTCATTAATCATGGCAATTTTCGCTTACAGTTATTATATACCACTTATCAGTAGTTTATGATTATTACGCGAATATTACGAGTGATTTGTAAATTGAATTTCAATAGTAATTTAAATACAAATTTGCTATTATATGAAAATATTATAAGAAAATGACTTTTCGTATAACCACTCGAGCGTTAAGATTAGACCACAAAAAGTATTATTAATAATAATGTTATAAATAATAATTGAATACATTATCGAGTTTTTGACGGTTTCTCCAAAGAGATAGCAAAATAAAAAATATACAAATTTGTATAAAGAGTTATGTAATGTAGGGGCTAATGGGCTTGGTATGTAATGTTTTTGATGGCTAATGGTGTGGGCCGGTACCTATTGTGCGATGAGAGCATCGATTTTTGGTGGTAACCACTCGTGATGGTAGGTATAGGTCATAGCCAACCCTTGCCTAGTGGTTGACATACTCGGTAGGGATGTATGACTGGGATGTTGTTATAAGCACTGGTAGCTTCTAGGAGGAGCTATGTGTTTTTAAGGACTAATGAATATTCTGTGCGTAATTGTGATGATTTTTAGGTAGTTATGCTTACAAGTTAGTTTGATTTTAAAACTATAAAATATGATTAGAGTAGAAATGTTATAAATGTATGTTTTTAATATGTTCAATAAATAAATATAAAAATACATAAATAAGAAAATGCGAGAGAGAGAGAGAGAGAGAGAGAGAGAGAGAGATTATAATAAAAATATTTTATACTATTGAATATTCTAATACAGTGTATTAAATACACCTTTACACATTTTACACATTAATTTCTAGACATAAAATACATAAACTATTTTATTTTTAAACTGTAACATTAAATTTTATAAATAATTTAACCATTAAAAAAGTTTAATAAGTTTTAATAACGGTTTCATTAACTCTCATTATTAATAGTTTGAATAAAAAATTTTGTTTGAACCAGTTTATTGCATATTAAAAGATTTGTCTTTTTTATCAAAAATAACTTAAAAATCACAAAAACATGCCAAACAAACAGACTTTGAAATGATGACCAAAACTAGTGAATCACTGAAGGGATGGGTACTTGAAAAGTGAGATAAAAGTAATTTCGTTTGAATTTGTGGGAAAGGGATGCTGTATAGGATCGGGTGGTCATTGTTATTGAACACAAAATTTGAATATTGATAAGAAATAATGTATGGATTATCGCATACCACGAGTGGTTATACATTGTAATAAAATATCGATTTGTTTTTCAATCACTCATATCGTGTGTTCACTGGAAAAAAGATTTTCATGTTTTCTGTTGCATTACATTAATAATAGTCTGCAAAACGCATCAAAAATAATAACATTTTCTTATGAATTGAATGTAAAAAACGGAAAACAATTTAACTGTTTTTCTCTGACATAATATATTCACCAAATTTCACATACAGTTAGAGAAACAGATAAAAACATTTCCCTAATTGTGTAATTGATAGGCAATGAAACAATTGATTTGGAAATAAAACTTTTCACTTTCACTGTGGGGGAAGGGGTGATGTGTTTGCATTGCTATTGTATTTTGAATATATCAATATAATAGGGAGTATCGGGATATTTGTGTTGATAGATTGGATATGGGGGTAGAAATCAATGGTAATGCTTGTAGTCATTAGACTGCAGTCGAGTGCTCTCTCTCTCGCATTTTCTTATTTATGTATTTTTATATTTATTTATTGAACATATTAAAAACATACATTTATAACATTTCTACTCTAATCATATTTTATAGTTTTA